GGGTACGCGTCCCGGGGTGTTACGGCAGTTTCCCGTCTCGTTGTATCTTCAGCGAACGCCGGGGCAACTCCAGCGCTGTCTCTGGGCTGGGGCCTCCCCCGCAGGCCACGCCGGAGCTCCCGGCCTGTTCTGGGGGTGCTCCACCTGCCGGGCTCCAGGCAGGGAAGAGGCAGCTGGAGAGAAGGCAGATGCAATATAATTCGCATTTTAGTCCATAAAAGGGTATACAGTGGAGAAATATTTCTCCAGAGCAAAGCAAGGCACTGTGTGTTCATGCTGCAGCGTGGTTTTACTGGAACAGATTCCACCACCTACCCTTGGTCTTTCATAACTGGTTGCTGTAGGTTTAATGCTTTCTGTTACGGCAATACAACATCAGCCAAAGGTTGCAGGTCAACTTCAGAGGAAACACCTCTTTCACTGGGTCACTATCTAGGACTTCCACAACTATAGAAATTCCTATAGGCATAGGCACAGGTCAAGCAGTATGCAGCACTAATACCCATCTACTTCTTGAACCTTGGGAAGATTTCTTTTTCCCCCATATATATGGCTTTATGCACAAGGATACCACAGGGAGTTTCTTTCTCTAGTATTTGTATTTATAAAATTAAAGGCTGTACAAACAATCTGTATCTTGGTTCCAAAAATCTCCATCAAGATGTAGACATATGTACTTATTACATATTATTGTAAGGATAAGTTAATTAGAAAAGGCTCTGAGGATAGGACTTTTACAGACCCATTTTTTTATACACACACAGTGTACATATATTCTACAATATATCTATTTATGTAGAGGTAGTCAAAAAACCTACATAATACTTTCCAAGCATAAATCATGGCTGCCAAAATTTTTTTCTTCTTTATTCAGACTGTAAAATAGAAATGTTACATATAAAGCAACTGTTCCAGAGGTGGTAATATGCAGAGTCAGGCACCAGATAGCAACATATAGCATATCACAGTCAAGTAAATCACATTTGTGTTACAAGACAAAAAAACCCAGACAGATAGGAAGTTCTTAGCGGTAAATGACTGGTGCAATGATTCATTCAGAATCATCGTCTCACAATCCCTCATATCCTCTTCCTGGGACTTACACAGCCCATTCTAGAAACTAGAAGTAACAAACATTCTCTCATTGCATGTACTTAACCGCTTGGTATTAGTGCACAGCAGCAAAGGGGAAGCTGTGTACTATTACAAACACACTCAATTGTTCAGTCTCAGGAAGAAACTGCAAAGTAGCAGTTTACATCAGTACCTGTTTATGCTTAAAAAAAAAACCAAAAGGCACATTGCCTTAAATGTATAAGTTCTTCCTGCAGGAAAAGCAGAAACAGAGTAGGCTGGTATGTGAACTCATGGGAAACTCACTCAGTACTGACTTTCTTCAGTCAGATTTGATCCTCTTTCCATTTTTATGGCCAGTCACAACTGCTGATTATCTATCCCATAGCAACATCTTACCAGATTACTGGTTTCAAAAACATGGTGCTAGAACTGTATAGTTAAAAGCGGTAATAATATCCTTATAAATACTTACTATGCCATTATAGTTGTATTTCTATACTGAAATTGGTTACTTCCCTCAAATTCCAGTTACACTGCCACAAGCCCCTTTATATTAGCAGAAATAGTTCTGCTCTGAAAGGTTTATGATTTAACTATTTTGACAAAGGCTCTTAACTGGTAGTTAAGACAAAACTGCACAGACCAGCCAACACCCACCCAACATGTACTGTCAGGACTCCTACACCTGTTATCATCCCCAGGAAAATCGCAGAGCAGCAATTCAAGTTCTTGTTAGCACCCTCTTTGCAGGCAGCAGGAACATTCCCCTGTTTTGCTACCTCTCACTCTGTGGCACAGTAGGAGACAGATGACAGCACAACATCTACACGTCCTAACAGAATTCAAGTCTGTACAGCAGCTTTATTATTAAGTGTTTGTAACTTTCACCAATTACTAATAGAAGTCCCTGGAATGTGACAGTCCAAGTAATAAACACAGTAGGGCAGACTTTTTTTTATTTTTAACAAGTATAAAAATCCTGTACGTTTGACAAAAGCTTTTAAAATCAACCACAGGAAACTGCTGGGCTACTCCATTTCCTTTCTGTAAGGATAAGAGGCATCAGACAGTTGAACAGTTTGTCACTGATCTGACTAAACACACCGGCCTTGAAATTTAATACTAAATGCCAATTAAGTATTCTGGTCCAACTCAGCTGAAACAAATACAAAGAATTTTCTCCTCTGCTATTAACTGTTCAGATACACAAGCTTTTTTTATAGTTCAGCAGTTCAGTAAAATACCTCATGGTTTAAAAGCTATAGAAATGCATGACATTTCAGTGCACTTTTCCTACAAATATGCATGTACAAGGAAGGAGCAGTTTTAATCTATGATGAGTTTGTAACATTCAAAATACAACATGATTTTAGGTTTTCCATATGAGCATATCCTTGTATGTCAGACATACCAGTGTCTTTTTTTTCAGGCAACAACAGTACTAAAAGCAATGTAGTTGCTGAAGTGGGTTACAGATTAAACTCTGCCAGTCACCGTTCATACTCCTCACTTCCCAATAACCCAAGCAGAACAAAACAAGCTACCAGTTATACTCAGATGTCAACTATCCTCAGCAAGAATCTCAGGATATTCCTCCCAGAACTGGTCCCCAATAATGTCACAGTGCAGGGGAACAATTTTACTCTTAGTCCGGGTCACTTCAACTTCTTTTTCTTCCTCCTTTGGCAGTTTTATTTTCTTAGTCATGACTTCATTAATCTGAAAATACAGTTGACACATTAGCAGACATAAAAGACTCCAGAAGAGATTCACAAATGGACAAGAAACAAAGCTACAACAAAAGTAACTATCAGCCCTATAGCATACTACAGAATTTGAACACTGCATGTCATCATCACATGGCTTGAAGAAATTACCTACAAATTCACATTTTGATTGGAACTATTCTTGAACGAAGTACAATATTTAATTTGGAGCTATATGAAGCAAATAGGAAACTTTTAAAATGTCTACAATTACCTAGAAAAAATATGCATAAGGAACAAGTGGACTTGTTCCTTATGCTTCCTGTGCTCCCAGGTGGGAGTCTGTTCTAATTAGTTCAAATGAAGTAATAGAAAATGCTGGCCAAAATTTAAATAAAAAGAAAATATTATCTTTTTTTACATATAGAAGAGAGAAGGCTGAGCAAGTTACAGAGAACTCTTAACATAGACAGATGGGGTCCTGATCACACAAAACATAACATTCTAGTTAAGATCTCCTAATACAGAAGGATGCTGAGGCCATAAAAATTTATGATTTTCTGGGGTCTCCTCTCAGACAAAACACAGGACAGGAATTTTACACTAATTCTGGACCAATGATGTAAACCTAGAATGATGAACATTTACAAGTTATCATTGAAAGAAATTCCACACTAAGAGCTGCACCCCTTACTACGCTCCTTCACAGAAACACAGAAGGACTCAGCATACTATAAACTATAGCTGTAAGGTACCTTACCAAGTAAAAGTTTGTAATTCCTTCATAGTGGAGATATTTGGGATCTAATCCTGTGAAGGGTATGGCACAGGCCGCAGTGATTAGGATATCAAACTGACAACAGTCATTACAATGTAATCTTTCAGGAAGAATACTTCCTCAATTTTCAAAGCTGGCAACACTAAGAAACCAACTTTGATTCATAAAAGAAGGGAGATTTATCTAGCAAATATATCAGTCTTGTGAAATTCTACATATACATTGTCATCTGCTGATGCACCTTTTATCTCCACAGTCATAATCTGTATCTAAGCCAGACTTCAGAGACTAGTTTTTATACTGTGCTCATAGATACAGATACCTCAAAACCACCTCCAAAACAATTAGACTTCTTACACATCATTATATGGCAAATATGTTTAGTTTTAAAATATATTTATACATAGACATACATTTGGGATACATCTGGTGATTTTACAGTGTCGCTTGTCTGCCATAGTGCACCTATTTTAAACGTGAGCATGAAGCAAGTGGTAATATAGTTTACCTTCTGCCATATTAAGACAGTTCCTTTTCTATACATTAAAGGTTCATTGTTGTAGTTGATGTTGAATTCAGAAAATAAGATTTCATTCTTATCTCCAGCCAAAGTTCCCTGAGAGGAAATGAAAAGAAAAAGTACTCTTATAGAACACAAACTGAATCTCAAGGGTAGAAGATGGGTGAATATTGGAAGTAAGACTAACACTCATACAGGTTTTTCACCTTTAAATTACAGGGTTTAATTACCTCTCCAAAGAGAGGAATTATTTTGAACTGCAAAAAGACCTCAAGAGAGTCTTACCTTGAGTCTCTCCTGTGCTTGCACTGGTGTCAAACCACTTCGCTGTACAAGCATCCAAAACACAGTATTATAGAGATTATTAATATGGCCTACAGAGAAAGAGAAAAGAGTGAAAGTATTTACCAAATCTGAGTGACTACACAGAAAAAAACAACTTTCTTTACAGAGCCATATCCAACAAACAGCCAAGAATAAAGAGGAATTAATAATACCAGTTGCTAGAGACAATACAGCCTTTCTGATTCATTTTTAAGGTACTACATATCATAAGAATGACTAGAAGATGATTTCATTATAAAATTCTGAAAAGGGAGAGCAGAGAGTAAAGGATGTTTATGTGTAACATCATTATCTTCATTTGAGGAACAGGCATTTGTTACTCATGAAAGCCTAGAACAGAAATCCAAGGGTCTGTTCTGGCATGGAATAAACAGCACTTTTGACTGCTACAATTTTGCTACATGGTGTAAATGTGTACATTCACATCTCTTAATTAAAGATTACCTTGGCTAAAAAAACCCAGAACATAAAAAAAATAAATTAATTCTATTTATAATTCTAATATTTCCTGGGCTGAATTCACTCCCAGGATGCACCAAATACACTTGAGTCTGAAGACTCAGAATTTCAGCCAGTATTTCTATACCCATACAAAGCCCAAAACAATTCTAATACTGTTTATTAAAACTACTACCCTAGCTGCTGTTCTTTCACTGATACATACATGTACAAAAATACACTGGAAACAAAGGCACTTCTACTCAGAGAAGAAGGGAACTCAACTGCACAAATCTCCATTTTCTAGGAACGCTTACAATCTGCTTGTCTCCAGCTGAGGTAATCCTTTAAATTTTGGTTGCTGGGATACAACACAATTCGTCCATCAAATCCTGGTGGGTACAGAAGTTGCTGGTCCTTAAAGTAATCCTTCCAATAGAAAACGTAACTTGAGGCAAACTGGGAGACCACATGAGTCATGAACTTACTTGCAAACACAAAGCAAAAGGAGAAAGAAAGAAATATATCAATATGAGTATATATCTGTGATTATTTGAGGAACTGGTAGCAATAATTGGAGTGGATAGCAGCATTTCTTAAATAATTGCCCAACAGATCAGCAACGGCATAAGTCTTTTGAAGAACAGGAAGTACTGAGAATCAAGTAAAAGTGTTTGGAAAAGGTGACATTTGGTCAGAAGAACATTTGTTCTAACAATGTTTTGTTTCCAATGTTTGCTTTATCAAAACTTTTTAAAACTCTGTATCACTGACCATATTTTCCTGAAAGATGACATGCAAAGAGTTCACATGAAGAACCTGAACTAACTGTAGGGTATACATCCAAAACCAGCCCTGCACCTAACCTCTGTAAGTAAAGTCAAATCTAAAGATCTACAGGTTCAGAGAGATGTTAAACAAGTGCACTTCAGTATCAAAGCAGCTGTTACCTTGCTCTTCTTTTAAACCATCTACTCTTCTTTTTGAAAACAAAACTATATTCATCACTCTGTCCATAAGCAATAGCAATATCCTCCAATTCTTGCATCACTGTCTGGGCACACTTGGTCATCAGACGAAGAGCACGGTCATCATTTGGCTTTTTGAACTCGTGCTGCTCAGAAAACCTTCAAAGCAAAAATAGTTGATTAAGAATCCCTTAAAGAGCTAACTTGTTCATTTTCATCATATTTGTTTTCTGTGAATACTGACTTCCAGTATCCTTTCAATACTGACACAGAACTCCCTCCAGGTATGAAAAACAATAACAAAAAAAGTGTTTACACATCCTGGATAACCCATTCTCTTTCCCATCAGTGTTTCACCCTAACCAGTCCTTCAAAACAACTGGTTTCCCTACTTTCCTTAGGATATGGGGATGACAAATACTATTTTCTGGAAACTCCTTCTCTCCTAGGCCATCTCTTAGTCCAACAAGGGCAACATTAGCAGTAAACTCGTCAAAACACGAGGGCTTTACCAGAACCCCAGCTGACCAAACCGGAGATCAAATCCCCAGCAGGAACAGTCACCTACCACTCGACAGAGCTGTATTCTGTCTGTCCTGAAGACCAACACCCCACAGACACTGACTCCAAACACCAGCGAACACCCCTGGGTACCGGCTGCCGCCCCACCCCAGCACCCCCAGGGCACCGCTACACCCCTGCCCAAGGCAGGCTGCTGGGGCTGCCCGCGGCCCTGGAAGACAAACAGCGGCAGCAACTCCGCGCCCGGGAGAAGCCGGGGGAAGGGCTGACGGGGATCAGGAGGGAAAGAAGGA